ATCGCTGGCGTGCCGGCCGCCGGCCCGCCTGCTGCTCCTGCTCAGCAGGCCCAGCAGCACTCGCCTGCTCCTGCTGCTGGTCTGCAGGCGGCTGCCGCCCTCCAGGCTCAATAGCCTGCTGCCGTGCTGCTGCCGGCAGCGGCTGCCCGCGGCCGGCCTCGCCAGCCGCCTCCTGCTCCCGCTCCTGCCGCGGCGCGGCCGGCGGCGGCTGTTCGTCGGGCCAGCGCGCCCCGGGCGCCGTCACCACGCCGCCTACCTGCCGCCATTCCACCGTCTCCTCCTCCAGCCGGCACGCCAGCGGGCGCTGCTCGCCCTCATACAGCACTGAGTGCTGCCGCCGCCGCGCATGCCAGCCCACCACTGTCCCCGAGTACATGCTGCCGGCGCCGGTGGCTTCGTCCCCAATCCACCACACACCCACCACCTGCCCCACAGCGGCGGCGGGAGCAAAGGGGAGCACCGAGGCCGTGGCTGGCGGAGGCGCGGGCAGCAGCGCTGGCTCCTCCGTCTTTTGGCAGCCAAGCGCGGCGGTCACGTCTGCGGCCAAAGGAGGCTGGGCCGCCGCCGAGGGCTGGGCCGCCGCCCCCTGCCCTTCCCCTGCGCCCGCACCGGCTCGCCCGCGCTGCTTCTTGGCGGGCTGCCGCTGCTTCTCGTCCTGCGTTTGCTGGTGCTGCCGGTGGGGCTGCCGGACCTGCTGCTGCTGCTGCACATCCTGCACCGCCCCCAGCCCATCCACATCCATTGGTTGCTGCTCCTGCTGCTGCTCCTGCTGCTCCTGCTGCTGCTCCTGCAGCTGCTGCTGCTGCTGCTTAGGCTCCTCCACTGCCACCACGGCCTCCTCAGGCTGCTGCGCCCTCTGCCCCTCCCGCTCCTCTTCGTCGGCTTCAGGAGAGGCCAGCCGGGCGGGCCGCCGCCGCGTGCGCCGCAAGCGAAGCGCACCACCCTCGCCCGGGGGGCTGGCCTCGCCGCCCTCTCCGGTGCCGCCCTCCTCGCCGCCACCCTCGGCACTGGGGCCCTCCCCGCCGTCGGCGGCGGCGGCCGTGCGCCGCTGCTTGCCGCCACGGCCACCGCCGCCGCCGCCCTCCTTGGCCCGCTTGCGAGGCTTGCGCTCCTTACCGCCAGACTCCCTGCACGCAAGGCGCGGCCAGGCGGGCAGGCAGCTTGCATTGGAGCGGGATGTGCGGGGAGCGCAGCGATCCGGCGGCAGGCACAACGCCCGCCTGCCGCCCGTGGCGCGCAGCGGCCCCGTTCTCACCCGCTGGTCAGCGCCTTGTACCGTATCGAGCACTGCTTGTCGGTGCGGCCCGGCAGGCCCGCAGCCACCGCAGACCACTTTATCTTGCCGTCGGGCTGCAGGGCAGGGCGTGTGTGGGGTGGCACGCAGCGGGCACATGGCGGGTCGTTCATTGCGAGCTGGGTGTGCGGAGAGCAAGGGACCTGCCATTCCGCGATCATCACCACAAGGCAAGGCAATACCACAGGCTCATGCCCTGCCCGACCCGGCACACCAACCTGTGTGTGCTGGGTGGCCAGGGCCAGCAGGCGCCGGTCGCTCTCCCCGTTCCAGGGACGGTAGGTGGCCACGCCTGCGGGCAGGGCAGGCAGGCGGGGCAGGCAAGCAATGCGGGCTGCTGTCGGCGGCCGCATCTTCCCAGCTGCGCACCCCACCACCCACGCCACTCCACCAGCGCACTCCTCAGCCGCCGCCGGCAGCCCACCTGGGTCCAGCACATTGATGTACCGCTCGCGGCACTGCACGTCGGTGCGCCCCGGCACCAGGCGCGCCACCAGCGACCACTTGCGCCCGTGCAGCGCCATGGCCTGCGGGGCGAGGCGACGGCGCAGGGGGCAGGGGGGAGGGCCTCCACTCGGCAGCGCCCCGGCGCGTCCAGGCCGGCCCACACTCAACAGCCGCAGCCGCCGGCAACGCTCTGCCCAAGCCGGCACGCCACACAGCACGGCTGCCACCTGCAAAGGCGGCGCAGCACGGGCGCCCGCGCGCAGCCCAGCTGCCATCTGCAGCCGCAGCCACCTCCCCACCTTGAGCAGGGCCTCATCCTCCTCCTGCGCCCACTTGCCCTTGCGGGCCACGGGGCCGCGCTGCGCGTGGCGCCGCCAGATGTGCATGAGCTGGTCGGGGTCAAAGCCGCCCGCAAACTCCTCGGCGATTCTCTGCGGAGGCGCCGGGGGGTGCAGCACACGCGGTCTAAGCCGTCGGGCAGCCAGCGGCGGGGTGGCCAGGTGCCTGAGCAGCGTGCCGCGCCCGCTCGCCCTTGCAGCAGCTGGCCAGGGCCCCTGGTCCCTGCTCACGCACCCCTCAGGTGGCTCCCGGCCACCAGCCCAGCGTCGCCCTGCCACCCACACCCGGGCCTGCCAGCCACCCGAGACATACCCCCCTCACACACTTACCTTCCAGGCGCTGCCGTGCTTGGCCACCAGCTGCGTCAGGCGTGCCATGTCCTCGCCCGCCTCAAACTTGACCCCCTCCTTGGCCGCCGCGGCCGCCAGCAGCTGGTGGCGCTGCAGGCAGGCCAGCGGCGGGCGCGTGCCGCCGCCCGTGGCGGCCGCCAGCTCACGGCTCACCGCCTCCCACTGCACGAGGGAGGGAGCGCGGGGGGGTCAGGGGCAGGCACTGGTGACCCGGCAAGCAAGCAAGGGAACTAGCCAGCCACTGCGCCGTCCGGCTGTGGCCGCTGCAGCCAGCGCGCGGGCAGACAGTGCGGGCAGACAGCGAGGGGCACACAGCAGGAGAGTGGGCCGCACCTCGCGCGCGTTGTGCTGCTCAGCCAGGAGCCGCAGCTGCTGGTCCTCCTGCGCAGTCCACTCCCGCTGGCTGCAGGCAGGCCAGGCGAGGGGCCAGAGAAGCAGGCATGCGATCACCGCCTTGCCCCCCGTGCCTTGGCCCATGCCCATGCATGCACGCCAGGGAAACAGCGCAGCCCTGCAGGCCGCGCCCCCACCTCAGGCTGGGCGCCAGGCTGTTGGTCCACTGCAGGCGGCACTCGGTGGTGGTGCGGTGCAGGCGGGAGCGCTGCACAAGGGTGGCCCAATCCTCCTCGCGGAACCCGGCGGCCAGCTGGTCCACGACTGCAGGGGGCGGGCCGGGAAGGTGGGCAGGCGCTCTGGGTGGGGCATGGCGGTGGGTGGGGCGTGTGGGCAGGGCAGGGCCCAACAGGGGCGGGGCCCCACGGCAGCACAGCACAGTCCCAGCACCCTCGCCCTGCGGCGTGCCTGGCGAGTGCAGGGTGAGCGCCGCGATGCGCTGGCGGCTGGCCTCGTAGTCTGCCATGCCGACGGCGCCGCCGCTCTCCAGCCGCTGCTGCATCTCCTGCATCACATCCTGCAGCTGGAACTCCTGCAGCACAGGGCCAGGCAGGGGAGGTGGGGGGGGGGAAGAGGGAGAGGGAGGGAGGAGCGGCAGGCGGTTGTGATGAGCAAGGTGGCGGCGGCGCCGGGGAGCAGCCCCAGGCATCACCGGCTGCAAGCCGTGCAGAAGGCGGCGCAATGGCCTCTCCCCGTGCCGCACCTGCACCAGCTGCACCACGCCGTCCCGCAGCCGCTGCTGCTCCTCCTCGCTCCACCGGGCGCCGCGGAAGCTGCGGCAGGCTTGCCGGGGAGGGCGCGGCAGGCGAGGCAGGGGAGGTGCAGTGAGCGAGGCTGCTGCTGGGCAGGGCAGGGGGCACCGGGCACGCCACAGACAGCTCAGATCAGCGGTGGGCAGGTGGAAGCCCACCCGCCAGCGCTTGCCTGAAGGGCAGGTGGCTGTACAGCGGCAGCAGCGCTTGGGCATCAGGGTTGGGCGGCACCCCCTGGCCGCCTGCCCCGGCGCTGCCGCCCCAGAACCAGCTGGTGCCAATGGGGGCCTGCAGCTGAGCTGGCTCCGCGCTGGCTGCCACTGTGGCCACGGCGGGGGGGGCGCTCTTCTTGGCTTTCAGCGACCGTACCTGCAGGCGGGGAGGCATGGCATGGGGGGCGTTCTGTGGCGGCGCAATCCGAGGGAGTAGATTTGCTGCCACTGTTTCTGCCATCGGGGCAGCGTGCAGGGCCGGCGGGGTGCGGGGAGCGTGCCGGCTGTGCCGCGCTCCCGGCAGCACCCCACCCCACCGCCCACCCCCACCTGCAGCAGGACGGCGGCGTTGCGGTCGATGGCACGGTCGGTGGATGCCAGCAGGCGGCGCAGCCTCCCCTGCAGCTGGAGGTTTGCCTCCAGCGCATCCCGGATCGTCTGCAGCTTGCTGGCCGGCGGTGCCTCCTCTGTCCTCTCTTCGGCCTCTGCCGCTGGCCGCGGCTCAGGCGCGCCCTCCTCGTCCTCGGCAGCGGGCTTGCTCTTGCGCTGCCGCGTCGCGTGGGTCGCCTTGCCCTGCTGCTTCTTGCCAGCCCCAGCGGCTGCCTTGGATGCCTTGCTGCCCAGCACCACATGCAGCTTGGCCTTCTTCTGCTGCTGCTGCTTCTTTTGCTGCTGTTGCTGCATGTGCTTCTTTTGCTGCTGTTGCTGCAGGTGCTTCTGTTGCTTCTGTTGCTGCGGCTGCTTCTTCTGTTGCTGCTGTGGCTGTGGCTGCTTCTGCTGCTGTTGGTGGGGCTTCTTCTTCTTCTGCTCCTGCTGCGGCGCCACAGGCGTCGGTGCAGGAACCAGCACCTGACGGTTGTACACTCTCCTGGGCCCCGTCCCGGCTGCCTGTGGGTGCTGCAGAGCAGCGGCCACGTGCTGCACGGCCTGCTGGCGCTCGTCTGCCTCGTCCTGCCGCTCGTGCCGCCTCTCTTCCTCCGCTTCACGCCGCTGCTGCTGCTCCTCGGCCGTCGCTTCACGCCGCTGCCAGAGCTCCTCCTCCTCCGCATCATCTTGTGCACCTCCTGCCTCGCCCTCGTCCTCATCTTCCTCGCTCTCCTCAGCTACCGTTTCCCTGTCTGCCTGGCAAGCGGGCTGCAGGGTTGAGGGAGGCGGAGCGGCTGCCGACGACGCGGCGCCCGGCAGCGGTGGCGCCTCGTCCTCCTCGGCGTCGGACTCGTCCAGCTCCTCGCCGGGGTCTTGGTACTGCACGGGGTTGCAGGCTCCGTCAGGCCACGCATGGGGCGCCCTGGAGCCCCGCAGGGGCGAGGATGGCTGTGCCAGCGGCTGTTGTCGCGCCCACAATATCGCTCACCGCAACGAAGCCGTCCCCCAGCTCCTGCCGCAGCGCCTCCAGCTCCAGCCGCAGGCCCTCCAAGTCGGCCAGCTCCAACTCATCGTCGTCCGAGCTGCTGCCGTCCGCCATGGTCCCCACAGCGTCCCTTAACGCACAAGCATCACCCCGGTGTCAATTCAAAACGCCTTGGACGCGCTCAGAGGTGGCCTTCGCATTTCGGCACTACACACTGTCCTGGCTTGTGGCTTGCTAACCCCAGGTCATTTCCGGAGCTTTCCGGTCCAGGCACGTGCAACTGCTGGCTGCCCGGACCTGCCAGCTGGTGCTGGGGGGTGAGCCTGCCTGCTGCTGGCCAGGACCTGGGCTGCGGCAGCTGGTGCTGCCTGGTGCGGGCCTGGTGCTGCGCCTGCAGCCTGGACTGGGCAGCTGGCTCAGTAGCAGCTGCCTGAAACTGAGATCAGCATCATCATCATCAGCAGCAGCAACCTGCCGCAGGATCCAAAAAGTGGTAAATTTTGGCGGGCGCTCCACGCTGGGAGTGCTGCGCTGGGCGCTGGTCGCCTGTGTGCTCAAGTGCTTTCAAATCGCCTTTGTCGGCCCAGATGTAATGATCGCGAAGCAGGGCAGGGTTTCCTGGGCGCTCCTTGTCCTCCTTTTCATATTCCTCTTGCACTCTCAGCGCCTCTCTCTGCGCCCACAGAACACGCAGAGCACTATAACAGGGCTGCCGTCGGCGCTGGACGTGCCGTGCAGCCCAACAGGTGGCGACAGGCGCCCGCCGCGCGTCCCGCCGCCGCCGCCGCCGCTGCCGCTGCCCTTGTGCGATGCGGCCATGCTCACGGGGCTGCTGCCGAACGGGACAGCCACGTGGAGCACCTCAGACACCAACACTCACGCAGGTGTGATGGATGTTCCCCGCTCGATCATCTTGCAGCAGTGGGAGCGCATGCAATAACAACCACTAGCCACTGCTGCCGGCGCAGAGCTGTGCAGCGAGGGCTTCACCCTCCCCGTGCAGCTCCAGCTTGATACATGCTGATGCGTGGTCTGCCAGAGTAGTGTGCACTAGGCCCGGGGCTCATCCGATCCCAAATGCCCTGCCTTCCCCGCTCGCTCGCAGGCGCCGGCGCCGGCCCGCCATCCTTCCTGCCCCGGCTGGTGCTGGAGCGATGCGTGCTGCGCAGGTTCACGGCCAGCCAGGCGCGGCAGTGCCTGGCCGGCCGCCCCCTGGTGTTCATCGGGGACTCGTTGAGCAGGTACCAGTATCTCAGCCTCGTGAGCTTCCTGGACCGGGGGTCCTGGCCTCGCGTGAGCCAGCACCCCAGCCTGGTGCACCTGCACCAGTGGGGCGCAGACAAGATGCTGTCGGGCAAGAAGTCTGCCCATAAGGACAAGAAGCTCGAGTACTTGCGAGGTGCCTGAACAGGGCCTGCTGCACTGTGTTGGGGGGGGGAGCCTCGCCATGCTGCAGCGCTGCAGGCGGCCGGGTGGCGGCGGCCAGGATGCGGCTGCCGCCAGCTGCTGCTGCCTGGCGGGCGCGCCCTGCTCACACTCACACCTGCATCCAGCTCATCCCCGCGCCGCCGCGTGCAGGCTCCACCGACGCCTTTGGCAGCCGCATGCGGTGCGACTGCTCAATAGCCAAGGACTGGTTTGAGTCTCGGACGTATGAACACCAGAAGCACAACATCACAGCACACTTCATGTGGTGGCGGGGCTGGCCAGAGGGGCTGGAGGGCCACTGGGGCCACCCGCCCTTCCTCAACGCCACCCCCTGCCACCCCTCCATCTGCGGCATGCATGGAGAGGAGTGCCCGCCTGGGCAGTGCAGCCCGGTGCCCGACTGGAGCATGCCGCTGCCAGAGGCGCTGCGCCAGGTGGGGGGTGCCCTGCACTGGCCGGCCCCAGCTGCCCAGCTGCGCCCGACCGCTGCATCCGCTTGCGCGCCTGGCTGCTGCAGGTGGTTGCCCAGCTGAGGCCTGCTGCCATCCTGCTGAACGCCGGCCTGTGGCGCAACCATTTCCACTTCCAGCCCTGGCCCCCAGCCTTCAGCCGCGCGGTGGCCAGGGCGGCGGTGGAGGCGGTGGCGCCCCAGCGGGGGATGGCCCTGTGGCGCACCACCACGCCCTCCACGCGCTTCAGCATCAGCCGCAGCTGGGACGGCGACTTCCTGGGGGCGGCGGCCAGCGAGCGGCGCCTGATGGTGCTGGATGCCTGGGAGCTGGGGCGCCCCCTGCTGGCCTTCGACCCGCTGCCCTTCTTCGACCGCAGCCACCCGTGGCCCGAGTTCTACACAGAGCTCAACACGGTGCTGCTCAACATGCTGTGCTGACGCCCAGCAGGCACGCTGGGCGCAGCTGGCAGCAGGCGTGGCGGCAGCAGCGGCGCCACCTTGGCTTGCCGGCGCTGTTGCCGAATCTTTGCACTGCGATTGCGCTGCAACCCAGCCCATTTGATTGGCGTCTCTTAATGATGTACAGACGAGCGCAGGTGGCACGCATGAGAAGTGTAGGAGAGGGGTCCGAGAAGGGAACAAAAAACAAGGTCAACAAGCAACAAAAGGGGACGTGCGTGGTGGTGTCCTGGGCCATGATGCGATGTGGTACCAGAGCGGCCAGCAGCGCAGGCGTGCTCACGCGGTGGCGGTCTTCAGCAGCTCCACCACCTCAGCCTGCTCATTCATCTCCGCCACCTCGCCCGCCGTCTTGCCCTCTGCATTCTTGATCTTCACGTCCGCGCCCCTGCACGGCAGGCGGGGGCAGGAGCAGCCAGGTTCAGCCTCCGCAGCATGGCGGGCGCAGGCATGAAAGCCAGGCAGCCAGCACCCCTCCACAGCGCGTGGCCTCATCCCAAGCCCCTGCTTGCTTCTCCTTCCCGAGCCTGCACCGTGATGCTCCTCGCCTCGATGCACGCAAGCCTGCTGAGCGCCCTCCCCACCACCCCCACCACCTCCACCCTCGGCAGCCCCGCCCCCAGCCTCCCGGCACGGCGCCGCCACTCACTTGTCCATGAGCAGCTGCGCGGAGTCCATGTTGCCGTAGCCGGCGGCGTAGTGCAGCGCCGTGTTCTCGTTCACGTCCAGCGCATTCACATCCGCCCCCGCCTCCAGCAGCACCTGCGGGCAGGGAGGGGGGGAGGGGTGCCGTGCAGGAGGCAGGGTGAGGGCGAGGTGGGCACGCGGGGCGCTGCACCGGGGGTCGACGAGGCCCGGCGGCCAGCCCTGTCCAGCACACCTCCAGGCCCTTAGACACACTCCACGCCTCCCAAACACAAGGCCGGAGCGCCGCCGCCCAGCCCCGCGGCCCACCTTCATGCACTCGATCTCGTTGTAGCCCGAGGCAAAGTGCAGCGCGGTGCGCCCCTCCTCGTCCTTCTCATTCACATCCACGCCCTCCTGCGCCAGCAGCTCCTTGAGCGCCTCCACGTTGCCTGCAGGCGGGGGGGAGAGGCACCCAGGGCCGGGGCAGCAGGGGGTGAAAGGGTGGGCCCGCACAGGCGCAGCTGGCAGGCCACGCAGGCGGGGCGTGCGGCCAGGTTTTCCTGCATGCTCCCCAGCAGCCGCCTGCGCCCGCCTGCGCCCGCCGCCGCCTCACCCTCGCTGGCCAGCGACAGCACCGTGGCCTCCTCCTCCTCCTCCTCCTCCTCGCCGCCGTTCTGCGCGGCGGCCGCGTCCTGCGCCGACTTGAGTCGCGCCTGCAGCTGCGGGTCCTTCATCGCCTCCTGGAACTTGCGCCCCAGCTTGGCCATCACCTCCTCGTCCTGCATGTACTTCATCATCGCACCCTGGCCATTCGCCTCAATGTCCTCCATCACATCCTTGAGGTCCGGGTCCTGCGCGGCGGCGGCGGCACGTGTGTGGGGGGCAGGGCAGGGCAGGGCAGGGCAGGGCAGGCGGTGGTCGGGGGGGGGGACAGGGAGGAGCGGGGCAAGCCCTGCTCAGCGACCCTCACCTGGCCCCACCCAGCCCTGCCCTGCCCTGCCCTCCCTCCCTCTCTCCCTCACACACACACAACCACACAGCCCCGCCCACCTCCTTGAGCTCCTCCATCTTGGCCTTGAGCAGCGTCTGGTTCTCGGGGTTGCTGAACAGCTCCATCATGGTGAGCATCTCGGGGTCGGCCACCTGCTGCATGAGGCCGCGCCCCAGAGACTCCGCCGCAGTCATGAACTCGGGGTTCTGCATCACGCGCTGCATGGCCTGCAGGCGGGAGGCGGGGCAGGCGGCGAGGGAGGCGGGGGCAAGGCAGGCGGGCAGGTTGGCGGGCGCGAGGTGGTGGGTGGCATGCGACAGCCGATGGGCAGGCTGTCCGCCTGCCAACGCAGCGGTGGAGGTAGCCAAGCAGCCGCTGCGGAGCCACATCTGCCAACACCTCTCGCCAGCTGCACCTTGGGTGCACTCGTGCGCCGACCCCCCACCAGCTCCCACCCCGCCCCTCCCTGGCCCCTCACCTCCATGTATTTGGAGGGGTCGATGCCGCCGGGCATGCCGGGCATGCCGGGCATCCCGGGCATCATGCCGGGCATGCCCGGCGGCACGGCGCCGCGCGGCGCGCCGCCCTCCCCGCCGTTGATGTCCAGCCCGCCCATGTTCTGGTTCAGCATCGCCTCCTGCATCTCCTTGGCCATCTCCATGAACACAGGGTCCTGGGCAATGGCCTGGGTCATGCGCTGGATGTTGGGGTCCTGCGCGGCGAAAGGCAGCAGGGCGCGGAGCAAATCAGTTTTGAGCTCGAGAGGCGGCGACGGCGGCGCGCCCGTCGAGGGCGCCAGAAGCAGCCAGGCCCCTTTTGCGCCCGCCCCGGCGGCTCGCTCGTCCCAGCCGTGCGGTCCCAGGGCGCAAAAGGTGTGGGGAGCTTGCAGGAGGGCGCGTGACAGGGCTGCGCAGCCAGAAGCGTCCAGGGGTGCTGCAGCCGCCCATGCTGTCGGTGTTGGCTGCCACCAGCAGGCTGCCTGGCAGCATTGCACCCCTGCCCCGGCGCTTTGGAGCAGCCTCAGCGCGCTCGCCTGCATGAACTGTTGCAATGCTTCCATATTCATCCCGCCGGGCATGCCAGGCATGCCAGGCATCCCAGGGAAGCCCATGCCGGGGAAGCCACCCGCGCCCGGCGCGTTGGAATCACCAGTGCTCATGGCTGCACAGCGTGGGTGGAGCACGGCCTGTTGGAGAGCCGAGGCAGGGCCTGGAGCAAACTGGGAGACTACCAGCGGATGGCCAGGGCTCAAAACTCGATGGGCAGGCCCACCTCACGGCTGTGTCATCTGGATGATCTGCCCAGTTGCACCCTCCTTGGACGTAGAACGAATGTGTACCTGGCCAGCGAAGACGGCATTCGCATATGCCAGAGCAGCAGCATGGTGGAGGGGAGCGGCAGCCAGCTAGCCGCCAGCGGCGGCACCGCACCCTCGCCCGCACAGTGTGGGCTCTCTTTACACGCTAGCAACAAATGAAACAAGAGGATGGCTCGCTGCGCTACATGCATGCCAGGGAAGGAAAAAATGGCCTGCCGCTACCGCTCAGAAATAGATACACCTACTGGTACAGCTCACCCCGCTACTGCACGGCGGGCTCGGCGAGCGGCCCCGCCCCGCCACGCCTCGGCGCCCATCAGCGCCCATTCTTGTCAAACTGCGCCACATAGTCGATGGCCAGCTGGCAGATGCCTGTCATGGAGGCCTCGGGACCAAACACCTCGATCTGCACCCCAATCTCGTCCCCCAGCCGCCGCATCATCTCCAGCCCCGCCTGGTAGTTGGGCCCGCCTGCGCTGGGCAAGGTCCGGGGCGGGCAGGGCGCGCCGATGTGGCAGGCAGGCAGGCAGGCGGGCCAGGCACAGTGGCAGGCAGGGCAGGCGGGCCAGGCACCGTGCCAAAGCCACAGCCAGCGCCGCTGATGGCACGCAATGGCAGCCGCAGCCTCGCCCGCCCTCGCGCACACAGGGCTGCGCCACCCACCCCGGCGGACAAAGATCTTCATCCTGGCGGCCTTGATGGCCTCCTGCTTCTCGCGGAAAGCCTGCACCAGCCACACATCGCGGCACCAGCCTGGATGCAGCACGGCTGTCTATCCCCCTGGCCACCGGCAGGGATGCAGCTGGCGCCTGGCACAGGCCCTGCCTGCCGGCCCGCCATCCAGCCCGCGAATGCCGGGCCACGCCCCCGCGGCGCCTGCCTGCCCCCACCTGGATGATGCCCTTGAAGGTGGCGGCCACGTCTGTGAAGTTGGCGATGCCGCCGCCCACAATCAGCGCCCGCCCCCGCCCGTCTGCGGGCGCGGCGGGCCCAGTGAAATGCTTTGGCAGCAGGCCTCCCGCGCTGGGGCCGCATCAGGCCAGCGCAGCACAAGATGCAGGACTGGTGCGCCCCGCCACCCACCCAGGCCGCCCTCGACGCCCTCAACCTCCCAGCCCCGAAGTCCCACCACCCACCCGCCCACCCACCCACCCGCGTAGGCTGTGGCCGCATCCAGCAGCGTGCGCGCATACTGGTACGTTTCTGCGGTGTTGGGCCCGCCGCTGTACTCGGCATAGTTGCCTGCGGGAGGCGGGCAGGGAGGGGCAGGGGAGAGGAGGCGGGCACGCGGGTGGCAGGGGCTCGGCCAAGGAGTTGGAGATGGGCGCTCGAGAGGGCAGCCTGGCGGTCGGGCACAGCCGCGCCACGCACACACAGCCTCTCACCCAGCTCCTCAGCATATCCCAGGTCGGCCACAGTGTCGGCATAGATCACGCTGGCGCCGCCGCCTGGCAGGGGCAAGGGCAGGGGGAGCGAGGGCCAGGTGGGGGCGCCGAGCAAGGGCAGCCGCCAGAGTGCCCGGGGCTGCCTGCAGCATCGCTTGCAGCGGGGCAGGAGGGAGCAGGCAGGCGCGGGGTGCTGCCGCCGCGCACCCGCCACCATGGTCCAGATGCGGCCCCGCGGGTTGAGGATGGAGAGCTTGAGCGAGGCGCCGGTGGCTTCGTCCAGGGAGTGGATGCGAGCCTCCTGCGCCCAGGCGCGCGGCATTGCCGACACGCGGCCCACCGCCGTCAGCTACTCAGGAGCCGCAGGCAGGGGCCGGCAGGTCCGTAGCGGCCAGCAGGCAGCGGTGCAGGGCAGCAGCGCTTGGTGGGGGGCTGCACATGGCACAGAACCGGCGGCGGCGGCGGCGGCGGCGGCACCGCACCTGCGGCGTCATGGTGCGCCCAAAGGGCAGCGGGAACTCCACGTCGCCCCACTTCTTGGCGCTGCGGCAGAGGCGGTGGAGGGGCAGGGGGGCAGGCGGGCAGGGGCAGTCGGCGGGCATGCCGACCCCGACCTTAAAACTCAAGCACTTCCTTCTCCAATCATGAATGCGTCGCCCCCAACCACACACATAAACACACCACCACCACCACCACACACACGCGCCACCACCGCCACTGCCACCCCCACCACCCCTGCAGCCCCCTCCCCCACCCCCACCCACCCACCCACCTGCGGAATGCGGCGGTGTCGTCCAGCTCGCCGCGCATGTCCAGCGGGAAGGGCTTGCCCGCCTGGTCCAGCGTGAAGGGGTTCATCTCCAGCAGCGTGAAGTCGAGGTCAAGGTACACCTGCGTGTGCGTGTGTGTGTGTGGTGGTGGTGGTGGTAGGGGGCAGGGGAGGGGAGGCTGGGCGGGCCCGCCTTCCACCGCGCTCGTGAACACACCGCCACCAGCACGGCGCAGCCGAAACCAGTTCCAAGCCGGCTATTGCATCGCTCTTCTCCTGCCCAGCGCAACCCCCCACCCCCCGCCTGCCTTGTACGTGGCCGCGATGAAAGCCTCCATGTCGGGCGCAGCTCCAGCGGCAGCGTGGACAGCAGCGGCGCCAGGGGCGCGCTGCTGGGCTCCGCGCCGGTAGGGATGCTCACTGTGCGCACCTGGGGGGGCGGCGGGGGGCAGGGGCAGGTCAGCAGCGGTACGCCCGCATGCCGGGACCCTTTGCCTACCCCTGCCCAGCGCACGACGGGTTCGTGCCCCTGCTGTTACCGGCCCTCAAAACCGACAAGCTGCTTAGCTTAGCTGCTTAGCAGATACTCAGCATTTGTTACTTATTTCTCTCCCTCCCCCACCTTGTCCCAGTTCTCCTCGATCTCCATGCCCCCAAACTCGGAGAAGGATAGCGTGTCGGCGAGGCGGCCGCTCTGGATGCACAGGTAGTACTCCTCGGCGTGCGCCACAAACGGCTCCACGATGAAGGTGTTGATGCGGCCCACGGTGCCGTCCATGTCCACCACCTGGCGCGCGAGAGTGGGAGGGCAACGGCAGGGCGGCCGCGGCACGCGGAGGGACGCCGGCGGGCGGTGAGTGGCGGCGGCAGGGGAGGGGGCTGGCGGAGGGGGAGGCGAGGTGGGGCCATCCCATGGGGGGAGCCAGGCCCCGGGCCCTGCCGCCCCCCACCCCCACCCACCTTGTTCATGCGCGCCTGGATGAACTGCTGCGCCCCCGTGGCATCCAGCTTCAGCCCCACCTGCACGGCACACGCACGCACGCGGCGGGGGAACTGTGGCGCCGAGCCTGCCTGGACCCCCACACACAGAATGCTGGCCGCAATGCCAGGTAGGCGCTCCCCCCATCCCGCAGCCCCCGCAGCCCACCAGGTCGTGCTTGCCGCGCTTGCCAAACAGGCAGTCTGGCTTGACCACCAGCTGCGTCTGGTTCATCCAAGGGTTGGCCGCCACCAGCTCCGCAAAGTTGGTGGCCTCCTTGACTTGGGCCACCGCAATGGGCAGCTGCAGCCCCGCCAGCCGCGCGATATGGGCCTTGAGCAGCCTGCACCCGGGCAGGGAAGCGCAAGCTGGCCGGCCTGGAGTGCAGGCAGCCCAGCAGGCGGCACAGCCCGCTGCAACCGTTGGGGGGCCACCACGCAGATGCCAGGCCTGCCGCAGCTGGCGCATAAGCATGTGCAGGGCGCACCTCTTGCTGTCGTACTCCCTGATCTTCTTGCGAGCCATCCTGCCGCTTGCGTTAATTGCTGCAGGGCAGGCAACGCAGCACGCGGAGGTGGCGCCGGGCACTCCGCTCCCGCTCCCCCGCCCACCCACTGGCAGCAGCGAGGCAGGGAATGCCGCGGATGGCGCCTTGCACCTCCACAGCCGATGCTGGCTTGTCCAGGCTGCGAATGCGGGTCTCCCTGGGCTCTCCCGCCCTGTCGGCAACCCTCGATCTCTCCCCCCCGGCAGCAGCTGCTCACCCTAGACTACCACGGAGGGCAGAAGACGCAACAGCGCTCAGCACGACACCGCCGCGGCTTTTCGAGGCTGCAACTGCCTCCGACACTCCTTGCACCTCAAGCAGTGGTCAGGCAGGGGGTCCAGCAGTCACCCTGATGAGTGTCAACGAATCCCTGGATTACCAGCAGGGAGGTCAGCGCTCTCGAGCCATGTGGCTGCCACAGGCTGACGGGGAGCCTCGCTTTCGGATGGAGCGGAGCATCTCTCTCCCATATTGGCGGTTTGACTTCACGCATGCAATTCGCCGGGATCATGCCTGGCCCTCCACAGTCTGCACTGGTGCGGCTGGGTGCGGCACGCAGTCTCGTTGCCGCTGCAGCCCTTTTGCGCACCGCTGCCACCTTTACCATGCGCCAGTCATCATCATCGAGCTCCACAGAATCGGGGAAGGTGAGGAGGTGGGGTGGCTCTGCGTCTCCCGCCCTGCCGCCGCTGGGTTCTCGCACTGTTCTGGCCTTCACAAGGGGTGTGCCCCTAGCCGTCTACCCCTATCAGCCCCCAGTGCCGGTGGAGATTGTGGACATCCAGCAGGAGACGCCCACCGTGAAGCGCTTCACCCTGCAGGTGTGCCCCGCTGCCGGCGAGAGCTGCGGCCGGGCTGCCTCTCTTGCTGTGCCGTCCCCAGCACCACATGCTGCTGCAGCCAAAGGCCCAGCTGGCCTTCCTGGCCGGGCAGTGGGTGAACCTGCTCATCCCTGGGCTGGCCGCTGTGGGAGGGTTCACAATCACCAGCACACCGCGGCAGCTTCACGAGGGCGGCACCTTCCAGCTGGCCGTCAAGCGAAGCCGCGCCCTGCCGGCCGCCTGGCTCCACGAGCGGGTGGGTGGCAGCCAGCTGGCGGGCGGGATGGAGGTGCAAGGGGCATGGAACTCCTGCTTCTGCATGCGTTTGCATGCGTGCACACGCTGGCCTGGCCTTCCTGAGTTGCGCCAGCGCACCTCTTCCCCCGGCTTGCAGGCACGGGTGGGCGACCGCCTGGCGGCCAGTGTCGGAGGCAACTTCCACTACCGCCCGGGGGACGAGCGGCGCCCCCTGTTGCTGGTTGCCGGAGGCGTGGGCATCAACCCGCTGTTTTCCATCCTGCAGCACTGCTGCGAGCTAAGCCAGGCAGGTGCAGGCGCCGGGGACCAGCGCAGCGGCGGCAGCGGCGGCGGTAGCGGCATGCCACAAGACCACGTCAGCAGCGGCATCCAGCCGGCGGCAGCGGCGTCACGCCGCTGCCGGCAC